GAAGCAGATTGCCACATCTTTCCCTCATCAAGCCACTGGTGAGTTTGAACCACTGAACCTTTTGGTTAGCAGTAGAGTGTTAATCACTGTGTCACCAGGGCTTTTTTCATCCACTTAGTATTTATTGAGCATCTATTTTGTGTCAGGCACTGTTAGGGATTGAACTGTGTTCCCCAAAAATATTTGTTGTAAATCCTAATCCCTATTACCTGTGTTTACAATCCTATTTGGGAATAGGTTTCCTTGGTTATGTTAATTAGACAGTGCAGGGTGTGTCTTTTTTTCCCTTAAAATTTTATTGTGATTTGGGTGAAAGTTTACAGAGCAAATTCATTATCCATATAGCAGTTCATACACATTTTGTCTCATGACATTGACTGCAATTTTCTACAATATAACAGCTCTCTTCCCATTTCCTCCGCATAGTTACCTCTTCCCTGTGTCCTTCCCTCTCATGCACTCCTGCCCACCCCCACCAGCCATCTCCCTTCTCCCTGTGCATACACTGCTCTCATGTTCTCCCATGACTGATCTCTCCAAGGAGTGTATCTACCTCATGTAAATGTTCAGCCCATATGCCCGTCTTTTATTTGGCTGGAAGCTACAGGAGTGACTTCAATTCCAGACCTGACGGGCAGCTAGGGACCATAGTCTCAGGGGTTTCACCAGGCTCTATCAGACCAGCAAACCTGGTCTTTTTTTTTTAATGATTTTGAGTTTTGTTTCACATTGATCTCCCAATCTATTCAGGATCTCCTATACAGATCCCTGCAGTGTGTGTCTTAATCTCTTTGGAGATACTGTAAAACCTGTGAAAACCAGAACCTGTGCAAGGCGGAAACCTGTCAGAGAAGGAAAACTTGAATATTTTCCAGTGTTGTTGTTATGTGCCATCGAGTTGGACCCGACTCAGCGACCCCTCCTTGGGTTTCCGAGGCAGTATCAGTATGGAAGTAGATTGCCCAACCTTTCTTCCAATGAGTGGCTGGTGGGTTTGAACTGCCAGCCTTCTGGATAGCAAGTCAAGTGCCTTAGGCACTACGCTACCAGAGCTCCTATTTTCCAGTAATAGAGAGCAATAGAAAAGCAGAAAGACTGCACCCTATCAAAGGTGGAAAACTTGTAAAGTCTGGAAAAACAAGGCTAGACCTGGCTGGTAAGTTCTGGCCCTCACAGGTTTCACTGTGTAAAAGAGCAGACTAAGAAAGCAAGCACAAAGGGAGGGGAACTTGCATGCCTCGTGATTGCCAATGAATAGAAGCTGAAAAGAGACAATGACAAGACAAGCTGCCAGAGCCAACAGAAAGAGAGAGAGCCTTCCCCTAGAGCAAGCACACTGAATTCAGACTTTTAGCCTCCTAGAACGATGAGAGAACAATTTTTTTTTTGTTGTTGTTTTGTTAAAACCACCCATTGTAGCATTTTTGTTACAGCAGCACTGGATATCTAAGACAGGCACTGTGCTTAGAGCTAGGGATATGAAGATCATCTCTCATCTCCTACATGGCCTCCCTTTTCCTGTCTTTCCTCTTTACAATCCATCTCCATGTATCAGTTAGAGTGATCTTCAAATATGTAGATCATGTTACTTCCCCCTTAAAATCCTCCCATGGCTTCTTTTTATATTTAGGATAACATCCAAACCTCATACCAGGAACCACAGGGCCTTGCAGGGTCATGTCTGAGCCTACTTCTCTGACCTCACCCTACTCTTTTTGTTGTTGCAGACACCAAAAATCTATTGCCGTCGGGTCATTTCTGACTCACAGAGACCCTGTAGGACAGAGTAGAACTGCCAATAGGGTTTCAAGGTTGTAAATCTTTGTGGAAGCGGACTGCCTCATCTTTCTCCGTGGAGTGGCTGGTGGGTTTGACCTACCCACCTTTTGATTGGCAGCCAAATGGCAGACACCAAAGTGATTCCTAAATCAGGGTCTTTTTTTTTTTTTTTTTTTTTT